TATGCTGCAAAAGGTAAAAAGGCGTAGAAGAAATGCAGCCTCTTCTATATTCCCTATACTGAAAACAGCCTTATCCAGTAATGCAGGTGGGATGATGATTGACTTTTCCAATCACCCCTACATAAGGCCTCAGGGTGTGCAAAATGGCCTTTACACAAAGTTGTGTTTGATGAAATCAGGATGGTGAATTCTTTTATGCTATAAAATGCTGTCAGATATAGTTGTAGTAATAACTTCAAAATATATCAAAGTCTTCAATTGACCATGTTATACATAGAAGAGAAAGGTAAGATATTTATTCTACAGGTAGATGAAAAAATGTTCTCTTATAATACACACAAAAAACACTGAATGCTCAGTGCCTGGCATTCTTTGTGAATATTTCCTGGAATTTCTAGTGTCAGTGTAGCTAGCTACAGGTGTATTTCAATATATAAATGCAGAAAAGGAAAAGCATTTTTTAATTTAAATTGTTCTTGGATGTTTTTGGCACAAATTTTTAAAAAACAAGGATCGTGGATCTAATCAGGATATGAGCATCATAGGGAAAGGAAGGGAGATTTGAGGACTTTGCCAGATTAAAATGTTCAGTGTCTTGCACTCCTAACACTTACTCCAAATCTTAACTTCCATGTAGATACTCATAAATGCATTCACCACAGGTCTGGCAATGTTGTTATGAATTTTAGAGGCCCCAGATACATCCTTTCCTAGAAAACTCTCTAAGCAACAACAAAAACAAGAAAATAGCAAGAACTGATACTTTTAGTACAGCATCACATGGTTCCAGCAATCATAGGAGGGTGAATGCCATTCTGCACATATACACAGGGCATGGGCATACAAAGCCTTTTTTTTCCAGTATATTCAAGCTTATTTTTCAGTATTTGAATAAAGAACCACTATTTTCCAAGTTAGTTGGGTATTATCACCACATCTACACATCCACACTAACTAAAAGTCCTAATCATATAGATGAGCTCAAATAATGTTCTATATAATGCCCTCTTATTTAAAAAAGCCACATTTCTTAGTACACATTTTCCAGGTCCTCTAGATATCTAGACAATGAAATCCTACACATTGCAGACTAAAAGGAAAGTGTTTCCATCTTCTTACATAGCATCATAAATAAGGGGGAACATTCAGCCAGGTCAAAAAGGGCACTAGCCCAGGAGCAAAGAAAATTCCTCCTCCAGCATAACAACTCTGGGCAAATTGCCATCTATAAATTTGTTACCAAAGGAAAGAGTATAATGAGTTTCCATAGAAAAAACCTAAACACTGTCCAGCATCACAACAGTGAACATGACAAAATCAAATTTAACTTTTAACAAGTTAATGTTCTAGGGGAATGTAAGTCTTCAGACACAAGAGACTTAAAGCCATGATTGATGTGATGTAAATGTTATGTAATTCCAGCTCCCCATAATACCAGGGGTGTTTGCACAATTCCTTCTGAGATATCTGGTGTTGACTACAGCACTACACTGGGGTCTGATCCAGCCTCACAGTTTCTGTGTCTCTTTGCACTTAATAAGGTAGAACTAAAAATATAATAAAAATCAAACAATGCAGAGACATTCCTGGTGATCCATTGTAGAGACAGTTTTTTAAAGAAAGAGATTATCCCTTTATTTTTTTAACCAGGGTGGAAGAATAAATCCACTTGGTACTTTTTTCATACTATAATTTAGTTCCCAACCATGGAAAACAGACAAAGTCACTCTTTCTGTTTTCCCCTGGAGTTTTCTGCAGCAGCCATTACTAGTGCCTTCATTAGGCAGAAGTTGGCTGGAACCAAGAAAACAGGAGCTGACCTGCTGCTTCTCTCATCTGGGTGTCAAAGAACAAGGATTTGTTGCAGTCATTGCTTTGCCACCTGCCTGAGGCATTCAACTGTATCTAGCACAATGATGCTGGAAACCATTCAGGAGTAAATACACAATAACATTTGTACGTTTACAGCATCTGTGAAAGGTGTGGGTAGGGTGAATTCTCTGCTGTGTGTTTCCAGAGCAAGTCAAACCCATTAATTAAATTCATGCTCTTGTCCTGCTTCAAAAGTAAAAACAGAGATGATTTATGGGCACTGACAGCTGCAGGAACCGGTTTTGCTCACTCCCTCTCATTAACTAATTTTGAAGCATCTGGATAGGTCAATTTCTCAGATTCTAAACATACAAAAGGCTGCACATCCTCAGTTTCTGCAAAGAAAGAAAAATACCTGTTCCATGCAGAGAGCTGTCTGTCATGGTTTCTCAGTGCTAGCTGAATAGTGCCTACTGAAATTGTGTAACTCAACTTCCCTGTGCCTGCCCAGGCAACTTGTAGGATAAAGCTGTAAGAGGTCCCAGTCACAAAAAACATTTCTTATCCAGTAATTATTTTACTTGTCCTAACAACACAACTCTAAAATGAGAAAGTGGCACCTGTAGAACAGTGTAATCTACAGTAACAAAAATTTTTCTCTAATAACAGACCCAGGTAAATTGCCACAAACACTCCCTTCTAGAGGGAATATCAAGGTCTGTATATTGCACATAATGATATATGCAAATATAAAAATACAGCAACACACCAACGTGTTTATTTCTTCTTCTAGGTTCTTTAAACAGGAGGCAGATTGCTAGCATTTGGGGCTGAAAGCTGGAGGTAAGCAAGCAGAAGACATTTAACATACAAGCTAGGAGCAGGAAATTGTTACAGAAGTGGAAAATTTTGGGTACTGAACTTTCACCCTCTGTTCCTGCAACATTTTTACTAATAAAATCTATACAAACATAGACAGATTATATTGACATTGCATTACCTGCCCAGCACAACCATATGCTGCTTCTGCAGACATGGCCAAAAAGATCAAAGCTTCCCATTCATTAATAAGCTAAACCTAGGTGTTTTATGTTCCATATCATGCTGTAGACCTATATTGACAGAGTGAAGGGCTGGGCAGAGCTCTGGATCTGTCTTTCAATCAATTATTTTATGATTCTGTACAACACTTTGTAAAACATAAGGCAAATTTTTGTTGTGATTCATAGCCCAGACAGGAGAAAGCCTGCCAGGAACAAGGATATTGCCATCTAAAGCAGCTCATGATCCCTAGTTACAAGGAAGAAATAGAAAATTTCCAGCATGGTCTATAAAAGGGGTGGAGCAAACAGAACATAAAACTCTCTGCCAGTGACCCAAAGGGGCCTCAGTAACAGATGACTGTGACTAAGAACCTCTATCTAGGCATGAATGGGCACATGGTACTGGGTTACAGAATCAATGGGCAGCACTATCCCAAGGTGCCTTAGCTCATAGAAAGATAGTAATTCTCCAGAAAACTCTTGTACAACTGGCAAGACCACAGAGCTCTGTCAAATAGCCTATTTTCAGCTGTGACTCAAGATCTCTCCTTTTGTCAGCTGGTTTTTACCACTCAGGAAACAACCTGTGCCTTCTGCGTTACTGATGAGGCGCTTCACGAATTAAGGAGAACTGTCAGACTTCAAAGAATTGTTAAACAGGTTCATTAAAATGTTAGCTGGTGCATAGCATCTTACCTGCTTACATTCTTCATGTTGTAGGTGACAAGTTTGATATTTACAAGGAGCAATGTGATGACAGAATTCAAGAGCTGACATACTGATGTATTAAAAAAAATTAAATTCAAGAAAGTTTGACAGAATAAATAACCTCAATATGATTATAATGCAGATGTACTTTTTGTAAAGAAAACTGACTAATCATGTCTCTTCCTCCTCAATTCCTTCAGTGAACCAAGACCCAAGACAACTATAGTTACCTACATTTCCTTCTTCTCATCCCTATAGAGTCTAAGAGAGAAGTGTGCAGTTTGACATTTGGAAGATTATTTCTTCACTCCAAGCATTCATAGAAACAACTCGGGACTTTCAAATTCAGCTTTGATTTCAGAAAGCCACTCATTTTCCTAAACTTAGAACAGAATCTTAAAGGCTTTGAATCCATTCCTAGCAAGGTTAATCAGTTTTACCATCAAAATGCAGTGAGAGCACATTAATACAACCATATGTAAACAATCCCAGTGAAACACATGGGCACAATCACAAAGAATGCATGGAAATCAGAGGTTTGTTCCACTGAAAATTAAATTGCAATGAAGAATTGAACTTAACAAAAAGAACTCCCAGAAAAGCTATTGAACAAGAGACATTGCAGCAGAGAAAATATTTGAATGGTACAAAAAGCATAAGGATAAGGGCCAAGGTTGTTAGAGAAGGGAAGGAAACTATGAGGGAAATGCAAACCTCAGGGCATTAGAATTAAATTAAAACCACTATTGATAGCTAAGCATTTGGTGAAACTCTAGGGGACAGCATAGAATTCTAACACTTTTTATCACAAAGGAAAACACCTAGTGTCTACAACCAAGTGATCTTCAGCTCAGTTTGGAAGACCAAGTTATGATTTCCAGAAAGAAAGAGTTAAGCCCTGTATTGTTTGAGTAAACTATATTAGTTCTCTTTGATCCTTAGGGTGAGGGAGACCTTTCTTACCAAAAGCACTCATCAGCTTCACACACTGAACAAAGAGAGGCTCTGTGTGGTGCTTGAGAGCTTCAAGGTGGGAGCTCCCAATGGAGCACGACCACAGGTGGATCAGAGTGACAAATGTCCAGCCTGCTCAGAGAATGCAGCATCCCATGCACCTTTCCAGTGGAGAACACAAACAACTTTTAAAACCAAAAGCCTAGAAAGAGATTCTAGAGCAGCATAAGAAGGTGCTCAAATAACTGTGTCAAAAAGGTTAAGTTTGTTCAGCATGAAACACACCCAGGATATGAAGCGTACCTATGGTCTATGTCAAAGCAGGTTTAGATAATTTCATTTTCATTTTGGTCTGAGACTGTGAGATAACATGTTTTCAGCAACTAAATGAAATGGAAAACACCAATGTGAGCTTCTGAGAGCCTAAAGACTTTGTTTAAATTCCAGGTTATTTTGGAATGTGAAAGCTACTTGCTGCTTGGATCCATGACAACCATGTAGACACTCTTCACTTTAACAATCTACACCAGCATGGTAAGCCATATTCCAAAGACTGAGTCTCACTGGTGATTGTGTTGTGCAATAAACTGGAGTGATTAGGTGTAAAAGGCTTCATGCTTCTGGCTCAAAGTAATATAAAAACTATTAAACAACATAAGCAAGAAGCAAATAGGATATGGCAACATGCCTTGATTTATGAATGTTGTTTTACACACCAGACAAGTATGAAATTTCCCAGAATATCTCAGAAAGGATGTTGCTAAGCAAAGATGATGGTAAAAAGAGTACTTAATTAAGGTGTCTGAATGCAATTTATAGGGCTAACAGCCATGCTCCAAACTATTACCAGCAAGCAGAAAAGGAAAAAGGTCCAAATACAATGAAAAAAAAAGATACTTCAAACTCAAATTTAAGAACAAATATAGAACAGTTTGTCTACTTTTGGATCAAAAGCCAATTATACACACATCAGACAGAAGTTGACAATCAAACCAGTTATCATTGAACATGATATAAGGAGCGTGCTGACAACTTACCAACAGCTGTGACTCCCAGCAGCTCTCCTTTTTGGCATTTTCATTTCACATTTCCACAGAATTGCAGGAATTTCCTAGAGGATTCAAAATAAACAAACAAAACCAATAATAAATTAAAGGAAAACCCTATAGCTGACCTAGTACTTCAGAATTTGTTAAACAGACAAAAGGAATTCACAGCAGTTAAGAATGCACTTGAAAGTTTAGTTAAGCAAGCTACCTTCATCCTTTCATAACTAGAACTGTGGATTTTATTTTTCATTTCTTTTCACTGTATGCACAAATGTTTAGGCCATGGCTTACACAAAACAAATAAGGACATCAAGACAGAATTATACTGCAAGTAGGATTGTTAGAGATCTGAACAAAAACTAAAAGGAGGAATCTTGTAACTAATGAACTAATTATGATGATACCTATATTTAAAAATAAAATAGAATGCAAAAAGGATATAAAATGACCGTAGTAAAAGGCTGCATAAAAACAGGAACACACCATGACTCATTCTTCATAAGCTTTATTATTCATTTCACATCAAGTACTGATCACACCTTTAACAGATGCACAAAAACACCCAACCCTTTGCAAGAGTACAGTAAGATTGAATAGGGCTATAAATCTTCAAAATGTAGCATAAACATCAAGCTCTGAGAAGGATATGAAATGGTGACATTCAGGACAGCTTAAGTGACTTGCTCTAAGGGCAACAGAGCAGCGCAGTGAACCGAGGCTGAGTGAATCCCAGGTTCTCCTTAGCAACGAGCCACATCAGATACCCAGGCCACTTAAATTTGCATTTAGGTTTCAATCATATTTCAGGCTTTTAATAGAAAGTCCTCTAAATGTCACCCATGGGTCAGACACCATGCAATGTTGTCTTCTTATATTTGCAGGCAAACAGCAACCGTGAAACTACGTATACAGCCGGGGTACTTTCAAACCTGGAAGCTAGATAGTGACATTTTATAAGAACTTGTCAGAGTTTACCTATAAATTATGAAAACTATAACTGCAAAGAATATGTATGCAATGAGAGTATAGCAAAGAGAGCAGCAGCAGCAATGACCATGTTAATTGTAATGTCCTTGTTGCCTTGTACTTTCCTCCTCAGCCCCATTGCCTATGGGTGCTGAATTCAGGAACAAACTACCCTGGCTTAGATCCTAGGAGTGTTCTGCCAAAAGGGATCTCAAGGACAACATAAACTTCACTCTCTTACAAGAAAAGCCTTGCAGGTTTCAAGAATGGTGCAAGCATTTTTGTGTGGATTTGTGGTTTGTAATGTAAGCTACACTGAGATTTTTCAAGTTATCACTCATGCAGAGAGATGCTGAGAATGAAAGAAAGCTCAGGGCCCTATTTCTAAAACCCACAGCAAAATACATTGCTCATTCCACAGAAACGAACTTGACGTGGTGAAAAATTCTCATGGGCTCACATTTCTCTCACTAAAAATACAAATATTTTCAGTATTTCTTGTAAAGAAGGAAAAGCATCTGCATTGCAGTACTATTATACTCTAAATCTACAATTATCCCATTATTTATGTTTTTAGAAATTCTTAATACAAAACACTTTGCTGAGCTTTCCATTTAGCTGGAGCATGTCTGAAAGAACAACAGCTTTACCAGTATCTAGAATATTATTGCAATGCCAGAGACATCTAAGTTTCAAAGTTAGTGAAAATCTGAAGGGTGAAATTCTGACAAGCACACATTAAGTTTTAATGGATACTACAAATATCCTGGCACCCAGAAAGAAAAAGAAAAAAAGAAAACACATAGGAAAGAAAGTCCCATAATACTGCATATTTGAAAGTTTTCTAATTTTACTGCTGTTGCTGAAACACTTCACATGAGTCCTAATCCACTGTAGCAAAGCTTATGTTCACTTTAAGCAGGTTAGCATTCCAGTTCAGCTCAAGGGGACGAGCATACTACCCAAGTGATTTATTTGATCACTGTCTAGATTTAAAATTCACAATGGTACCAAGAGGAGGATGTTCTATTTGCACATTGTTTGCATTAGACAATTAATGCCTCAGAGGTTCCTTCTTACTTATGTGTGCTTGCTTGCATGAAGAAACCACTTGCAAAGTGTTTTTCTCTTGCAGAACCAAGACATTTAAAACAAATTTTTGAAGCAGTCGATGGAGTACAATTGGAAAGGTAGGATTATTTTTTTTTCTCCTTGTGTATGTTTAAAAATTACTGGCCACTCACTATTGTAACTTCAGCATTCCACAACATAAACCATCTCTCCCTCCAATACTCCACAGTATTTTCTAATGACAACACTCAGCTGCTACAAGCATTAGTGACAGGACAGAACTGTTTCTTTCCAACCCATAAGTTTCCTGATGTAGCAAATAATAGCTTGCCAATTTCCACTCTGAAGTCTAGAAAAAGACACTGTACAGAAGAAATACAGGAATAAAAAAATTGCATCAATCTAAGACAGTAAACATAGGTGAAAAATGGCAAGAGAAAATGGGAAAATGCAGGCAAATGGTGGGGAAAGAACAAGAAGAATAGAAGGCAAACAGAGGAAAGAGGGGGATTTGGGAAAAGAGAACCAATTAGAAAACATAAGGATTAATTTGGTTTGAGAGGGAGAGCACACTGACTTCTAACAGTTTTCCTATAAAAAGCTGCAGGTTATGCCATCAAATGGTCAAACACAAAAGCACAACTTCCTGACAATGTTAAGGAATCTATTTGGTCAATGTGCTGGATTTTGGGGGGATTTTCTTTTGTTTGGGGGTTTTTTGGTGCTGGTTTCTTTTTTATGGGGCCAAGGGCATAGTTTTTGCTTGGTTGGGTTTTTTTACTTTTGTTTTTATAAAAGAGAATCATTGACTTATTCTAACTGCTTATGGCTTTATCCAATTTTCTTGGTATTAAGAGCAGCTGATGTTCTGAGCACAACAATAGCACCACAATACTTGCCACTAGCAATATTTCATATGATATAAACAAATCAAAAGCATCTGAAATATTCAGGACAAGATGATTTTTGGGCACACTAAGCTACAGCTGAATACCAGAGCTGAGATCACATATCCTGCCTGGCCTAAATTCTGCCCAAACACATATACACAGCCCACTCCAATCCTGCATTTGAAGCAATCTCCATGGACATCCAAGTCTATTTTCAGAATATTGCTCCCTGAAGTAAAAATGTATTGCTTACTTAAAGTATAAAGGCCTGCTAAACTCCAGCAGTGTCTCTTCATACCCTCTTACAAAGAATCAATGGGGAAAAACCAATCAAACAAAGAAGCACTGAGCCTTTCCATTGAACTGATGTACAACCAAGAGTTTTCAATAAGATAGAATGACAGGATTACAGGAGTTAAACTTAGGAAATCAACAATTAAGTCTAAGCAGGTTTATTTCCTTATTTTAACTTAAAAGAATTTCACCATATCTAAAACATATGAGATCTCCACCTCTTCTCTCCTTTTCCATCTTACTCTTTTCACCAAGGTCACCTAAAGATTCAAAGTCTTTTAACAGCATATTTTAAAGGTTCTTTAATCTTTCGCCCCAAATTTCTGAAGAAGGCCAATAAATTATTTTTGCACAGAACTCACAGGCAAATACAAGAGGCAACAGCTTCCAGCAGATGGGCCTACAAAGAGCTTGATTTCAGAGTGTACAGAGTGCTGCCATGCTGCTAATGAGTGATGAGTGGCACTGTCTGGCAATGTACGCGGCACAACCACAGAATCACAGAATAAGCTGAGTAGGAAGGGCCCCAAAAGAGTCATGGAGTCCAGCTCCTGGCCCTGCACAGCACCATCCCCAAGGGTCACACCATGTGCCTGAGAGCATTGTCCAAATGCTTCCAGAACACTCAGACTTGGTGTTGTGACCTCTTCCCCAGGGTGCCCATTCCAAGGCCCAAACTGCCTCTGGGTGAAGAACCTTGCCTAATATCCCACCTAAGCCTCCCCTGAAACAACTCCAGACCATTCCCTCAGGTCCTGTCACTGGTCACCACAGAGAAAAGATCAGTGCCTGCTCCTCTTCTTCCCCTCATGAGGAAGTTGTAGACTGCAATAAGGTCTCCCCTCAGTCTCCTCCAGACTGAGCAAAACAAATGACCTCAGAATATACTTAGGAAGCATTCTGACTTGTCAATTTTTTTCTCACAGACTAAATCCTACAGCAGTAATACTGTAGCTTTCATGCTCACTGTCCGACATTTTCAATTTTTCTAATGTCCCAAGTAGGATTTCTCATTGATAACAGCATCCATAAAACTGCATGGAATTATTCCAGGAGGCTTAAAAAATAAGCCTTTATACATATATGTGCAGTTGAGAAACAATCCGCATCTAGAAAGTACTTCTATATTTAAGCAGGCTTAAATCAACTGACTCTGTAAATGGAAATCTAAGAAAAAGTGACTTCCAGGCCAGAAGACAGCACCCACATCAAGTTCCAGTCAAAACCACAGAGGAGGAGGCAGTGATTCCTTTACACAGTATTCAAAGAGTTAGAGAATTCCATCATAAATTAGGATCCCCAGCTCAGTTTGATCCTCAGTCTCTAAGACACGTTGACAGCTATCAGAATCATGTCTTTGATGGCATGCTCTCAAGCAGGCTGCTCAAGCCTGACATTGGGAAAAGAGCAAAGTATGGGCAAGGGAACTTTGTGAATTGTAGACCCATGACAGCACCATCTCCAGACCCAATTCTAGAGCTGGTTTTATGCTATATCTTTTTAAAAGACATTGGATACAACCAAGGACTTTCAGGTGAAGGGCTGGAACCCAAGAATCCACCCTCCAAAGTGCACAGTTGTACAGAATCACAGAGACACTTGAACCTCTCAAGAGAAATGACATTTCAGGCATAGTCCCTCTGTTACATAAAAATTGGCTATAACTAATCTGAGGCTCCACTTGTGTTGCCAAACACAGACCCCCACTCAGGCCAAGCCTAACACAATTACTGACCCAAATATAGCTTCTCTGCTGATTGTTTCTCTCACATGCACATGACCATCTGCTTCCCATTTTTACCTTGTCACACATTTAGACCATGAATCCCTTGGGATGGAGCACATTTCTATGTTTGCCTCTATACAATATGGGACTAAACAGGACTCAGTGTTTTAGACCCCACTATTAAACAAGCTATTATATTTCATGGGATTGATAATTTTAAAAGACAGGAAACTAACTTCAGTAATTTAAACACTAGACTATGTAAGTTTGGAAAAATCAAATGTAGAAAACAAGCTTAGCTGAAGAGGAAATGAGTGGGTTTATGCTACCAGCTATATTTGGTTTTCCTTTATGTAAGCTGGCTAATGATTGTGAGAGCTGTACCCTTTTCCCCACTCTTCCTTCTACTCCTTAAAAATAAAACAATCATTTTGTATGGTAAATAATGGGGGTAGGGAAATGTTCCCTGACCTGGTGCTGTGAATGATGAGGAACTAGTCACAGAGAATGTATTTCCTTTTAAGTATCTTATAAATATTTTAAATCAATTGCAAAAAGCATAACAGGAAAAAATTATACATTCAGATCACCTCCAAATTGTAGCTCTTGTATCCTCTAGGACACTCTGCTGCAGCAGTAACACCTCACAAAAAGGTCCACCTTCCATGTGAGCTGGCCTTACTCTCAAATGTTTATAAAACAGTTGACAGCTACCAGAGATAGTAGTCAGTGAATGAAATAATACAATAACATCTTCTTAAAAACAAAGCAACTAACTAACTAAAAACAGACAACTAACTAAAAAGAGAACAAAAACAACAACAAAAATAGCACAAACCCCGTAACTGTCAAGGTAGAAATAAGAATCTACTATGAGAATAAAACATGGCACTTATGCTGACTAATAGAGTCAGGAAGCCACCAAGGATAAGTGGAAGATCTGGCTGAACTTACTGGTTGAAAAGAAGGACATTTTGAGGAGGAGCCTAGCAGGATTTAACATAGCCATGCATATTATTATCAGCTTACACAATGACCAACAGTTACAAATCAAAATAGAACACCCTTCGTAAAACTGATAGCATCTACTTTTCATTACCTTCCCCTTCAGCAAACACACCCGCAAACAACAAGTGCAGGTGTGCTCAAGCAGTACTGGTAACACCCAAACTTCCCTGCCTTGAGACCTGCCCACTGCTGCCTCTCAGCTTGGTGCAAAACAGCCACATGGAAAAGCAAGAACGTGAAGGGGCAATGTGGGAGCAGAAAACCTGTCAGCATCTGATATAAACACAGCTAGATGCCTGGAGGGATGGGAACAGAGCAGCTGCAAAGAAGTGGAGCAGTTTCTAATGCTGCATTTGCATCAATCCAGGTGCTCCCTATTCCAGCTGAAGTATTCACTCTGGCACAGGACAATTAGCAGGTACTGCCATTGCCAACTGTACTGGTATAGCTTCGTGGCAGTACAACTACACATACGTGAGATAATTAGCATGCATTTTTCTATTATAAGCAGAGCAGACTAAATGTGACCTTTTCTCTGCATTTTGAGAAAACAAATGTAGCCAGACACTTCCACTACTCTGACCATCCTGACTGCCAAAGTAGCTTCCCATCAGATCACAGCCAGACATCACACTGGCAGGATGCTCTTCCCTGGGCTGAGAAATGTCACAGCATGCACCCACAATTAGGGGGCATCACTGACCCCTGCACAGTAGTCACACACACACGTCAGCTAGGAGACTGTACTCTGGTCTGGATTGCTGTTATGAACAATCCAAAGATATAGTACACAATTTATTCTATTAGAGTACTATTTCATGTACATGGCAATTAGAGTTGACTGCTACTGTGCTCCTGGAGCTGCATATTTTTGTCAACTATTACTATTGCAAATTTCCTGGATAAACACTTAATACTTGCATATCTTTTCAGATGACACAACACAAATAAAGGTTAAAATCACGAGAGCATACTGATTATTTTGTGAGTAGGCCATACTTTGGTGATTAGTTATGCCATATTGAGGGTTCATCTGGCAAATATGATTTGTTATTTGGGTATTTGATATTCATAGAACCACAGAAAGGCTTGGTTTGAAAGGGACTTTAAGGACTAGGTAGTTCCAACCCCCCTGCCATGGGCAGGGATGCCACCTACTAGACCAGGTTGCTCAGTACTCCATCCAACCTGGCCTTTAACA